AATCGAGTACAGCTGCACCTCTTACATGTTGTAAGCACATGTTAGAGTGGAATGTCCAGAGTAATCAACATGTACGCTGTATTTATGCTATCTTATTTACAGATTCTAAAAATCTTGACTACTTGACTACTTCAACTGATTTAAGAAACAAAGTCTTGGGCCAGCCCCATGGCTCACTTGGAGAGTGCAGTGCTGTTAGCGCCAAGGCCGCGGGTTCAGATCCTATGTAAGGATGGCCGGTGAGCTCACTGGCTGAGTGTGGTGCAGACCACACTGTGCCGAGGGTTGCCATCCCCTTACAGGTCAGAAAAAAAAAGAAAACAAAGTCTTTCTCTTTGTGGCCATGTCGCTGGTCCTCTCCACAGTTTATGGAGTTCTTGGTCAGAACCTAACTTCCTGTGAGAACTACTAGGAACATAGGAGGTATGGTACTTCAAAAAGTTCATGGAAAGATTGCATTATCTTCTAATTCTATTTTTCTATGAATTTTTTGAAACACCCTCATACAATTTTAATAAGCCACTTCACTTCATTCTACTTATTAGGAATTCAATAACAAAAAGCAAGGGACTCAAACTATTCATAAAATAAGTAGCATCTCCCCTACTAAGGATGCCTCTAACAATGTGCCATTTATACTTATAGAAATGCTTCCCAGCATACAGGTAAAACATACCTTCAACACATTTTTAATTGCACTATTTAGTGAATGTTTTTACATTAGTAGAGCTTTCTCCCTTGGTTAGATTCTATCAGGTAAAAGATTGATTAAAGATTAATTCCAAAACCAAAGCACCAAAATCCCTACATTGATGAAACTTTTCAGCTATAACTTTCTGAAAGCCAAGCCAGACCAAAGAAAGATTTATCCAATGGAACTCTGGAAGCATTACATGATCTGCTTTATCTTCAAGGCCAAAGTCATTGCTGGCTTCTTAATAAGCTCTTAAGGGATATTTCTGTCATCGTTTACCTTATCTTGACAACCACTAAGGAAAGAGTTAGTAATCCTCTGAGTTGGGATCTCTAGTTAAAGCAAAACTTTTCTTGTTCCCAGACATATTTTGTGTAATGTCAGCAAATAGTTTAACAACTTGGAAAACAGTCAAAAATATTAATGTTTATTCATTTTAAGAACACTGTAATGCTACAAATAAACCTTCCCAGAACTTAAGACGTCAA